AAATGTTTGATTCGCGTCTGTCTGCTACATGTCTCCTGATTTTTCAAATACTATTTCAAATTATAGTTGCTAATAATAAATCAGAGCAGTGGTTCTCATTGATAAACCCGGGAATCTCCCGATTTTTCATCTCATCACCTGACCTCCCAGTAAATCTTCAATTCTCCCGGTTTTTAGTTTATCTGAATTTAGATCATCTTGAAATGCATCTTAAAATACTTACTAAAAATAAATAGGAGAATAGAGCGCTATATTATACGCAGTTTTATAAGAATTATTGATAAATAAATTTGCAAGAAAGAAAAAGTAGCATATATTGTTTTATAAAAATGTTGAAAAATTCTTTGAAATTGTTGTTAACTAACTAAGCTATCTAAAAGCAATAGATGCAGTTCTTAAGAATATTATTTTCTTTTGCTTTTAATCTGATTAAATAAAAATTCATTTTAATTCCTGATTTAGCTAACTGAAAATATTAAATAGTTTTATAGAATTGCATTATATACTTTCTCACTTTTCAAATACACAGAAGATCTATAACAATGCATACTCATCCAGTATCCCCAAAACGTTTCGCTATTCACCTGATATTGGTAATTTCTGCTGATAAATCATGCTAAAACTTAAAAGAGCCGCATTGGACGAGAGTTAAAACCTGAACCTTTTCTGATTTTTTACATTATTTATTATTTTTTGCTGATTTTGTTTTCATTTAAAATCACCTTTAATAAGAAAATACAGCTTTTCCCCGTTATATTTTGTATCAATATAAAATTAAGAAAATTGCAGTTTTGTATATAATACCCGTTAACTACATATAAGCTATAATTTGTAGTAGTTTTATAAAAAATACTCAATATTATAATACTGAAGAATGCGATATAAGCCCAAAAATATAAGGAAAATTTTGAGTAATGGATAAAATTAATATATTTTCGTCCAAATCATGTTATAATTAGTTTAATAACACGAAATATGCATTCTAAAGTCGCTTTAAGTTTGTCATTGATGTCTTTTTGTAACCAAATTGTCGCGCAGCGTAAAAATATATAATTTTTTGGTGTTTCAATATATCATTTTTTCCTGTTCATAAATTACAATCATATACTGACATATAAGTATTTGACGACTAATAGCACACTTATCACGTATATCTTCAAATGAAAGTTATTTAATGTCTTGTGACTTATCTATTTCCAGAGTACTGCAGCATGCTTTTAAATTTCATATATGTAATACATAAGTAGCTCAAGATTTTTCTTTTATATTAAATTGGAATCAGGGTTATTAATAATGGACAGTTGCCTTAATCGAAGCAAGGAGTCGTTTAGCTGTTATTTGAAACCAGAAAAATTGGTCTGACAGGGAGACAGATCTAACACTGAGGATAGACCAAAGCTTAGGCCCCGTACAATAACTGCCCCAAGCAGTTAACCGAGTTGTGAATGCAAAGTTCTTAAAGGAAATTGATAGCATTACTGTAGTGACCACACAAATGATGCAGCACTGTTGCTTTGCAGACTAAGTATAAAAATCAGCTTCCGAGTTACTAAAAGGAGAAATAACCGATCCTGTCCTTTCCCTCCCCAAGTTAAGTTAGTGTATTACGAAAAGAATATTACGAACTTCCCAAGTTAAGTCAGAGTATTACGAACTTTCCAAGTTAAGTTAGTGGAAAAATTTCTGTCACAAGCCTCAATGTAATCAACGTAAATCAGCACTATTTAGACAAAATACAAAAAGGAAAGGAAAAATGCTTGGGATATGATGTCTGTTAGATAAATTCTGCCGCCCTCCGGGGGAAAAAAAAAAAAAAAGTACTTTAACGCTTAAAAGATTTTAACTTGATGATATTTTTCAAGTTTTCTTGCAAATATTGTTCCTTAATGCCATTCATATCTTAGTTTCCTCATTTCTAATGTTGTTTATTCTTCAATTATTTCATAGTATTCTTTTCGTTTTGAATATTGATTTAATTTACGCTGTGAAAGAACTTATTGTCCAAATTAAATTGCGTGAAAATATGGGTAAATTGTTAAAAAGGTTTTTCTGTTGATTATAATTTCTGAGCAAAATCCTTTGGCTTTCGGGGAGTTAAAGATTGAAAATTTGTCGCTGCATTTATACTACTTGTAATGTGATAAGTTCCGTAATTATTTAATATATGTTATGAACTATTGTTTCCGTTTTCTAAATTTAATTTCCTCAAAAATAATTGTAGAATGGTGTGAAAAGACTACAAAAAAAAAAAAAAAAAAAAAAAAAAAAAAATCTCAGTCCATTTTTTGTAATTTTTATGGCAGTTCGACCTGGATTCCGACACAGGAGAACGGGCGTTTTGCGTGAGTGGTTTTCCCGCATATGTAATTGGAGGGCTTTTTAAAGGAAACTTGCTTACGCGGTTCTTATAATATTCTGTCTAATCAATAGAAGAAAGAAAAAGACTTTGATTCTTAACAAATAATATAATTCGAATTAAGTGCTAAAATACATCTAGCAAAAAGTATTTTTACCAATCAATTTTAATTTATTAAAATTAGCTATATATCTATATAATTGAGTGATTTAAAAAAATCACTTACATCGGAATAATTAGTAATAGGGGGGAAAATCTGCGATTCCAAAAACTTCACCAATTCCAGACAGATCTTCATTATAGCGACTTTTATACTGAAAAAAATATGATCCTGAGATTCGAAAAATATACAGTAATTTACATCTTATGATTACAAATAAACTACATAAGCTAATGTAAGTAAAATTTCTTCAATAAACGAGAGATTGCATAAATAATCAATCAAGTAAAATTATGTGATCATGGAAATTCAGCATATGTAGAAATTAAATATAAACTTTTCTTAATGCAGCAAACATTTTAGACATATATGATATTAATAATCAGTAAGTTATTTACTTTGATTATGAGACAGTACACGATATCTATCTGCTTAAGGAAAGGCATGTCTGCAGGAAGCTTTACAATGTTACGAAACGTGTTCGTATTTACGTTATATGTGAGGAAAATCATGAAAACAGGCAACTAGCCTTGTTTGCCGAAATTTGAAATCTGATTGAAATACCAGGGACTCGAATCAGTATCAGAAGAAAATTAGAAAGAAGTTAGCGGTTACTCATGTTACAGGTTGTTTGTTTCATTGAGCACGGTAAAACAAAAGGGGCTACCTGGAGGAAAGGAGGTTTCCTGGAGGACTGTCTGAAGGAAACTGGCTCGTGCTATAAATGGGGATTCGATTGTTGCTTATTTTACATTACTAGCCAGTTACTAGTCCAACCACAGAGCCAGTTTCCTTGAAAACGTCTGTAAGGATTATGTTAATTTTATTAACAGTTAAATTTTTAAGTTCCTTTCCTGCCAAATTCTTAACTTCAACTTACTACTTCAGGCCAGAACGTAGTTTTGGAATCACTCTGAATACTTAATGAGGAGCAGCGGTATTTAAACCGCGAAGTCTATTTGCTGAGTTAAGAGAGAAACAGATTTTCTGATTTGCGTGCGTCTGCCTTTTGGCTACTCTCTCTCTCAAAGCTGTTATTACGCTCGGCCGTACTCAGGTTCTTGATAAGCTTCGTAGTCAAATAGAGTTAAGGGGCGAACTCGATTAGAATCTTGATAGCTTCGGCTATATCTCTTTAGTTAATCTTAGTTTTAGTTTATTTCTTAGTCTCTTAAGTTCAAGCCCAAGTGTCGGCTTTTATTGTACACTCCAAGACGAGGTTTTGTTAAAAATCTTGGAATAATAAATAAATTGGAATAATAAAGTGTTAGTTACCCTTCCATCTTGTTGTTTCTTGTTACACGAACTTAAGCGATTATTCACTAACTAGTTCTTAAGATTCGTCACTTTCTACAGTAACTGAGAAATACACTAGTGAGAATCTTACACGTCCTCCACGAAGTCATCCTTCCTGTTATCCAGGTAGCCCTAGTATGCTTTGCCATAATCGAGTACTTCATCAAACTTTTTATATGAGATCCGGTAGACCAAAACATCCTATCAATAAATTATTAATTATGTGCTGTGATTAGAAAAATACAAAAAATTCCATGTCTAAAATTTGCAGAGGTATTCGAGAAGGATCTTGTTGATACATTTTTAGCACGTATACCATTTTATGTATCATTTATGATCAGTATGTTTTAGTAATTACTCAATGATATTTAATATCGAACAAATTTAAGGATTCACTAATAAAAAATGCTCGTTCAACTGTTGATAGTTTTATTTGCAAAAAATAGTCGTTATTAAGTATATGGTTTTCTCATTTAAACATTAATTATGTGCATGAATGAAGACTTAAATAATGTAATATTTTACTAAACGAAATTTTTACTATCCTGAGTCAAAAAAAAAAAGTTATTTTATTTTTTTGCAAAGCCCTCTTACCTATAATATTTAAACTGTTCTCTACCTTATTTAAAGAAGATTCATAATTAGAAGCACATATTCAAAATCAATATTTAAGCAAAGAAAGATTATAATCTTGTTTCTCGAAGAAACTGCATATGTCATGAATGATGAAACAAGTGACACTCATGTTCTGATATGCAATTATTTAACATCTGAGAGCATTCATCATTCAGTTGCTTCCGAAACTTTGTAAGTCCCCCCTCTCCGTATGGTGTTTCAGATTTTCATGGTAGAGTACTTGTGATAATAAGACTGATGCCACCAGTGACAGCATACAGGTCTGCATCACTTCGTTATTTAAATTCTCTCGTATAAACTCCCTATAGATCTCCTAATAATGGCTGTGAATTACTTATTTTTTAATGATCATTCACACATGAGTGATTTTCTCTAAATAAAAATTAATTTAGATAAAAACAGAGAAGAAATAAATTAATGCATTAAATCATATTTAATTAATTTCGTATTTTATTTGTCGCATAATTTTTATTTCTTTGTTCGTTCTGTTCATAGAATATAGAGATGCATTTAAATTATTTGTATACTGTAAATATTTATTTATTTATCTGCAGGATTGTTGAAATCTGAAAATTCTCTAAACTTGCTCCGTGAATAATTTTTTGAGGATGAACTGATCTATGAGGCCAGTGATCCATAAATTACTGTAGCGTATACAGTTAAAGGTAAGTTGCTATTAAAATTAATTAAATATTGTCATTCTACATAATTTAATAAGATATTGCAGTAAAATTCAGCGTTTTGATAACGCTAAATTATCAGGCTTTATCAATCAATGTACTGCCGCGAAAACAATTTCTGAAATATACTATTGTAAGAATTGCAAGAAAAAACGCAACTTTAAACGGAATTCTGCATAGAGTAACTCCACAAATACGTTTAATGATTGAAAACGTAAAATGTTATTAACTACATAGTGTGCATAATTTTTCATTTTTAATGAATCTGCTTTTCGAAACCAACCGTGTTGCTGTTGCATGAAGACTGTTCAGTGTTAGCATGTTCACCTTCTTGTCAAAACACCATTGAGAATAATGCAAGGATTTATTACTTTTTCATTGCTTTGCTATTATTACATCTGTAAATTTCATTAAATGTATCAATTTTCTTTTATCCATTCAGTAAATGTTCAGAAAATGCAGTTAGAAAAATGGTAGGAAGGAATATTTTGGATTTTGTTCAACAGCTCAGAATGGTTAGTGTCGCGTAATATTACCAATTGTTTTGCTTTCTTCAACAGAATACTACATAACATTTAGCCATAATGAAGTTGTAGCAAAATAAAATGCCATATGCTTATGATTATTTACGAATGACACGCTCATAACCTTGTGAGCTAGAGGATCGCTGCATTAGGGTTCTTGCAACATACAGGTGCTTGCATCCTTATGCAGGTCGGCCACTGTTAGGAAAAACAGAAACGGCCATAAGCGCTGTCCAGCATAAAGATGCCCGCACCCTTACGAATACTGACATTTAATTTGAAAAAGGCAACCTTCATAAGGACCTCATGCGTCACCTTTTTGCTAGAACACTTATTAAAATGCGATTTTCGTTTAATTAATTAAACTAGGAAATAATAAATCTTCAGCGCGTTTATGCAAAATCATTTCGCTTTAAGCAAATTCTATGTTGTCATCTGCTTAATAAATGTCATGCTAATGATTTATTTCTTCTTCTGCTTAACTAATTCATCAACAATGCAAACGAAAATGGACTTTCTTTGGATGCCTACACATAAAGGTGCCCCCTCCCTTATAAAGGTTTCTCTCCCCATAAAGTTAGAAATCCATCTTAGTAAGAGTGCGGACACCTTTATAAAAGTTCTTGTCATTTTCGAACAGCGGCTGACTTGCATAAGTGTGCGAGGACCTTTATTAAGACTCCCCTCAGCTAGCACTCCTATTGGATACACATATGCGAGATTTTATCAGATGTCCCAAACGATTGCGTGATGTGCCATTGAACATTTTACTGTGCATTGTTGTTGAAGAGTTAAAAGATTTTTGAATTCCATTCCAGAAAATGGTTCTTAAGAATTTTTTTATTTGTGTAACCAATTCTTTAACATAAACTGTTGGACTAACTGTGACAACAAGGGTGCCCTCTGAGTAGCCAGAGAAGAACTTTAGTAAAAGCCAAGTGTCTAACCTGATAGGTTGTATCAGACTCTTGCTCTGTAATTAAATTAAGTTAAATGTAATGTCCGTGCGCAACTTAAACCTGTAAATAAATACTTGTTACATTATACAGGACTCTTCTATGACCCTATCTAAAACGACCCCCTCGCATTTGAAATTTATGTTTTCGTAGCAGTTTTCTAAAATTAAGGTAGACAATTGTTGCGTCATGATTCCTCTCTTTCCTCAAAATTCGCATTTATTTATGAGCGTTATTTAAACAGTTCTCCCTCTTTAATTTGTAACAGCTAGTATTACTTAGGTAATTTAATATACTACATTACTGAAATAAATTCTTGTTTTACCTTTTTAGCAGCGGCAAAATTGCTTTATTTTTTTTTCTTCTTATACGAAAATAAAAGTAATTACCACCTATCATCAAAATACGAAATATTTTATATATAGCATTCTCTGCATTGACTTTGTTGTAATAATTTTATATGGCCAAATGTTTTCAAATGAAAAGTGATTTTTCTTCCATTTAAAACTATTGAAGAAAATAAATTTTTACTATCCATTCTTTTAATAAGATGTTATTTTTTATTCGTGTAATATTTCTTCGATTTGATTAGTTTATTTTATCCATTCTATAATTTTTAAAAATCTCAGTTTTTCAGTTATTAAACGATTTTAATATTACTTAACATTTTACAGGAAATTTTCAATATTTGTGCATCATTATTTCCTTTTTTAAGTATTAGGTAACCTGGATTTCATTTTATAATTAAAATTATTTTTTATAATTCTAACGTTGCAGAAAAAAAAAAAGAGGGGTGAGCTACTGTGCGTGTTTTCGTTGAATTTCATTTATTTAACGTGTTTGGCGGCAATAATATTGAAAAATTCAAAATGAATAAGTTTACAAACGGGGTGAAAATTACTTCAGTGCTTAATTTACATTATTAATCCAAGTGAAACGTTTAGATATTCTTGCGTATGAATACATTTCGGAAAAACATATCTTATTAATTTCCTTGCAATTTTTTTATATATATGTAATTCTATCGAAAGATGTATAAAGGGGCTATGTGGCAAAAGTAAAATTTTACAAGAATAACAAAAAAACTATCCCATTCCTCAAAATATCAGACGACGTTCCAACAACGATGGATTCTATTTATTCATAATTTTTTGTTCTTCACTTTTGACATACTTGTAAGGAATGGGATAGTTTTTTTTTTTTTTTTTTTTTTTTTTTTTTTTTTTTCTCCTATAAAATTTTTGTCACATAGCCCCTTTTTACATCTTTCGAATCAGTTATTTTTTCAGCAGCTGACGGCCATTTATGAGAATGTATTGATTTTGTCAAGCTTTATTAAAACTAATCAATGTAAAATGTTAGTATTATAATTAGGTATCGTGTTTACTGTAGTATTGCTATTAGAAATGGAGAAAATGAAAACGAAAAAGAATAACATTACTGTAGAGGGAAATTATTTCATATATAATGGTTCCTTATTTAGCTATAGAAGGTAAAATGAAATCTGTTATCTTGTAAATGGAAAAATAAATGTAAAACATTCCCCCCCCTTTTTTTTTTTGACTAACTATTTTCTTCTATTTCTCATCTGAAAGTTATCTAATTACTTGCACAAAGGAGAAAAAGGATTCATTCCGTATGAATTAGATAGAAATGAACTAGATGTATGATATCAGGGAAAGGGGGATCTAACGAAAATTGATAAAGTGTGGAATGGAACATAAAATGTAATCTGTCTAATTATGATGTTAAAGAGATAACACGTATCGATCATTCCAGAGGAAACTAGAGTGTTTAATTTTCTGTTAAGCTACCCTTTCAAAATATCCTCTAAAATAGGAATTTGTCAATTAATTAATTTTGTCAATATACTTTAGGATTGTCTTCACAAAGAGAAGACATGATTTCAGACAGTGGTTCCAAACTAAAACTCAAATGGACATTAATGGCAAATTATGTTAGTAGATGACATGACATCCCTATACAATTACAAGTAAACTTAAAACACAAATGTCACTTAAAATTTCAGTTATGGCTTATCCTGTTAGATTTAAACCCCTTTTATTTGGTGCAAGAGAGTGGAGATGAGTGGTTCCCGAACAGATCGATTTTTATGATTAAGCATTACTTCGTACCGCGGTCTTATGGACATGTTGCTGAAGCGTTCAAAGAGATCTTAAATGATCGTGATTCTTACAAAACAACGATTTTCAGCTTGGTAAGCTGATTTTGAGAAACTGGGAGCGTTCGCCGTAAAAAATGAAGTAGCCGCCCGTCACTTCTGAATTCGGACGAAATGGATAAAATAAGGACTAAAATGCATCTGTCACCAGCAAAGAATGTGAGAAAATAGCACATCACAATGAGATTTATGTGTTACGAGGTAATGCTCAATCAGAAAAAAGTTGTTCTGCTTGAGAAAAACTCATCTTGCACCAAACAAACGGTTTTTAAAGCTAATAGCATAAACTTCAACAGAAATTTTAAGCCATATATTACTTGCAACAATAAAAATTGATTAATACAGGGAAGTCACTGAAGCAATCTGCCATTAATATCCATTTCGGAATTACCAAAATTATTGAAAATTTAATATGCGCAACTTCTGGACCACCCGGCATATCACGCTGTAATTACGATATAAATAATAGTTGGCAGTTAATTGTTGATAGTAGCTTAGAATTATTGACTATTGTTTCATTATTATAACATTTTCTTCCCTCTACCCTGCCCAAAGAAACCTGGCAGTATGTCTTAATGAACTGCTGTGGTGGTTGTCTTAACAGACGATTCGTGATAAATCGCAAATATAAACAGGTGAGTTGCGAGATTAAAAATTTTGAGAAACGCTTCAGGAAAACTCCTTTTTTTTTACACTACATGTGGGAAAAACTACAAAAGTCCCTGAGCGAAAAAGCTCAGCCACCGGGATTGAACGCGGGTATTCCCAACATCTGGTTCGCGGCAAAAATATCGCGGACGAAAACGTCGCGGAGAAAACAACGCAAGGCGAAAACGTGGTGCTACAAAACATCGTGGGAGAAAACATCGCAAAGAGAAAACATCGCAGTTCTAAAACATCGTGGTACAAAACATCGTCGTCGAAAATAAAGCGGTTTATAAACTTCGCAGTTTAAAAACATCGCCGTCGAAAATATCGTGGTAAAAAATAAAGTATCTACAAATCATCGCATGACGATAACATCGCAGACATGCTTTTTTCAGGCTTTAATAACTGTAAATGGATATTCCCATAATGATTTGTGAGCGCAAGTGATGTAAGGAAGGATAATTTTTACTTTCACATTTTTTTATTAACTAATAAATTTTTGCTGAAAAAAATAAGAAGGAAACTTAAGCATAGAAAATTAAATGCAACTTAATAGATTATACTTTTTATGAAAAATTACCAGTAAAAACTTTATAAAAAATGATTTATTAATGGTCTTTGTTAGTTAACTATGTCGGTTTAAAATTCTATTAAGTGCTATAAGTTGCATTAATT